CGAAAGGCAGACTCAGGTTCCAGTTTGTCCTCATGGGTTCTGGTTTGTCATTGCAAATTCCATTTTCTCTCAAGAATTCCATCCAGTTTGTCCTCTTGTGTCTACTTTGGTCTTGCTTCCTCTACTTCATGTCCATTTTTTCTTCCTGACTTAGTAGTTTAATACAGTAAATATTTCTTATCGCACAGTTTCTGTGAGTCAGGAACTTGGGAGCTGTTTATCTGGCTCCTCTGGCTCATGGCCTCTCACTAGGCTGCAGTCAAGGTGTTGGCCAGGGATACAGTCTCATCTGGAGGCCCAACTGGTGGAGGATCTCCTTCCAAGCTCCCTCCTGTGATTGTTGGCAGGATTCTGCTCATCATGGGTTATGGGATTGAGGGCCTCATTTCCTCACTGGCTGTTGGCCAGAGGCTCCCGTAGTTATTTGCAACATGGGCCTCTTGAGGGAGAAGTCATATCATGGCGGCTGGCTTCCATCAGAGCAGGCAAATGAGACGGCAAGAGAGAATGAGCAGGACAGACAGCAGAGTCACTTTGTAACCTAATCTCAGAAATGGCATCCCACCATTTTTATTATATCCTATTTGTTAGAAGGAAGTCAAGAAGTTCAGTCAGCACTGAAGAAGAGTGGATTATAAAAGGGCATGAATATCATAAGCAGGAATCATTGGAAGCCATCTTTGAAGCTGCCTACAGTGCTGTTTTAAACAGATAAAAGGACTTCTCAGCATCTTAAATGTGTTGTGCAAACCCCCTCTTTTAAAAAACAGAACTCTTAGGAATCGTTTTTCTCACAGCATTTTTACAGAAAATATTTGTGAGTATAGCTTTCATCTGATGGAGTGAATCATAAATTCATACAGAAGAAATAAAGTTTTTTTAAAAAAAATGTGTCGGCTTGGAATAGAGTCAGAAATAGACAAATTGAAAAGAGGCACCACTATCACTAAATGTTTACAGGCAGGAAACAGGCTAAGAAGTCTACTCAGTTACGAATACCAGCCATATCTTATAGAAAAGGAATCGTGGCTCAGAAAGCAGAACCAAGGACCTAAAAGATGGAGTCAACAGTTATGGAGAATAACTCACAGGGAGTAGGACTGAGCCATAAACAAAAAATGTGGTAACATGTGCCAGATCAAATTTCAGAATTCTATGTACTAGTGAATGCTTTGTGTTTCTCATCTTCCTCCTCATTGAATGACAGAATCTGTTGTGTTTATCTTCTGATCGTTTCCCTGTTGAATGTTGTGAGCGCGTGGATAGATGACTGATTTACTTAGTTCACAGGCTTTTAGACCTAAAAAAAAAAATGTATCCAAGGAACTACACCTGAGGAGCCTCATCCATTCCTGAGTGGATTTAGATGGCAAGTTCCTGGACCTGGAGCCTAGGCCTGATGCTGTAACAAGATGATATTTTGGGGGGTGGGGGGTAGGGCTCTTGGAAATAAATTTATTTTTGCCTATGGTGGTAACATAAGTGATCTGTGGCCAAAAAATGGGTTGTGGCAATTTTAAATCTTGCTTACAAATTCTTTGAAACTCTCTTCATTAAGAAATCGAGTCTATGTTCCCTCCCTCAAATCTGAGCAGGCTATGTTTTCACCAATAGAGTATGACAGACGTAATGTTTTGTGACTCCAAGGCTGGTTCATAAAGGATGGTACAGCTTTTCCCTTGTTGGTTGGAATACTCACTCTCGAAGCCCTAAGCTACCATGAAAGGATGCACCTAAGGACACCATAATGTGAGGGATACAAGCCGTAGAGAAGACATGTGTAAGCGCCCTGGTCAGCCCTTCCAGACCATGCTCCAGATATGTGGGTGGACAAGGCTTCAGGTGATTCTAGGTCCCAGTCATTGAGTCACCCAATCTTTGAGTCTTTCCATCTGATACTGTGGCACAGAGACAAGCCATCCTTGCCACATGCTGACTGAATTCCTGACTCATAAAATCTAGAAGATTATTTTAAGCAACTAAGTTGTAGGGTACTTCGTTACATAGTTGTAGTAACTAGGACTAGCCATGTAAAATCATCACAGTTAAGTTGTGAGTGAAATTCATACATAGCTTTGAGAGCAGTCAACAGTCGGTATGTCTATAATTATTTTAGAAGCTTCTGCAAATTAGATAATAGATGTAAATACTACTAGTACAATGCCTGTCAATAAAGAGCAAGGATTTATTATTATGCCAAGAAACATGTGTATATTTATTTCCAAATGATTATTTTCAATGACCTACAAGTAATAATACATTGGCCAATGTTTCCATGTATATCTCCAAGTTACAGATGAATCTGTATGTGGTTTGTTGTTCAAGGTCACACAAATCTGAACAAAGCTAGAATTCAAACTCAGATTTTTTTTATTCCAAATCTCTTACTTTTCATCACTATATTCTCCTCCCTCAAGACATTTTAAATTTAGAGAAGAGATTAAGAACTACAATTATAAAAAGCCGGCCCCACAGAGAAGAGGCTCAAGAATGAAAAGTTAACTTTGCACCTAGAAAAGAAAGATTATGAATGATTTAATGATTAGGAATATGATGAGTTTGTATATAAAGGGATAATTTTCTATATCTCCTAAGGAAAAAAAGAAATATATATCCATAATTCATTTAAAAAATTAAAATTTAGTAATTTAGGTTTAACTCTTCATCTTAGGCACTAGAGTTTGATCAACTATCTTTACTTCATGATTTAAAATGATACATAAGGTTCAGGACTAAACAATTATTAAGGCCCTTTTAATTCTAATAGAGATAAGTAACAGTAGCTTCCATCTATGTAGCACTGGTTATTTCACAGATATTAGCAAATGAGTTTTTAGAGATCTTATTTAATCCCCAAATCAGGTCTCTAAAGTAGGTATTATTTTACCGTGCCTTTTTCTATAAGTGAGAAATCTAGTACACAAAGAAGTGTAGTCATTTTCCCAAGGTCACCCAGCTAGGAAATTGTGGAATTGGGATTATTGATGGTTCAACCTCTCATTTCTTCATTCCTCTAAAGCACTCTAAAGAAACACAATAAAATCACATATAGATATTCCATATTGATATGCCCAATCACAGGCAAAATACCTGTAGTAAATTAAGTTGGTTTTTATTTGTATATATGTAGATCTTTCTTGAACTACAACTCTTGATCTCCTTTGAGAATATCATTGTGATTATAACTGTACAGTTCTAATATCCACCCAATACATAAATTTCCTACATTAAGGTGGGTAATTTAAAAATATATACATGGAAAAACATACAGTGCTTACAAACCAAATGCAAATAAAAATCTTTTAAAAATCTTAGAAATTCATTAAGCAGATTATCTCAATCCTATTAAAAATGTTTTTTTTTTTTTCTATGTACAATACATGATCTTTAAAAATACCACTCCAGGAAACAAAAATTCTTTGGTTCAGCAAAAGGATTCTAGATGTGGAAATTTAATTTGTTAAAGATACACCTTCTTGAGTTGGGCCTATCTTATCTGGTTTAACTCTCCAAGAAGCACATAGCTAACTTTCTTTGAATTCAGAAAATATGGGTGGGGTGTGGGTAGAGGCTGCTATTCCCATAGAACTTTAACATATAAAAATATAAACAGAATCTTGAATAATTTGCAACCTAGACAGTATTTTTACTTTGCCAGATCGAAAAGATACAAAGAAAGTCTGTTTCCCATCCATTTTAGACGGAGGGTTAGGAAGCAATCCTGGTTGATACATAAAACATTTACCAGTAAAGTTCTTAGGCTCTGGAATTCAATGCTATTGAAACTATTCTTTTCATTATTTGGAAGATGGCAGGAGGGCAGATGCTGGATGACGCTTTTACTTCTAAAGTCCCAACACTTCTCCAGCAGCTTACCTGCCTTCACAATCTAAAATTATAGACATATCCGTGATTCAGATGTCTTTTAAAGGAGCTATTAATGGAGCAGTAATGACAGTGCATCAGCGTTCACCAACGGGACCTTCATTAAAAATTAACCGTGGTTATTCTATACTCTTGGTTTATTAATAATAACAATCATAGAATTGGCCAAAATACCACAGGGTTTCAAAGAGTCAGCAACTTACCATCAGATTTTATTCTCCTCCACATTTAATGGGAAGGGGAAGACTTCACAATTTTGCTCCTGCATGTTTTCTACTTGGATTGTGAAAATATTTAGTGTATAAGATAAAATCTTTCCAAAAGCCCATCATTTAACCACACATTATAACCACCTTGATCAAGGCTTTGGAAAGTCTCTGAGGTATCACAGCTGGTCATAGGAGATTAAAAAAATATATTTGCTTTGCTTATTTTTTTCTAAGTTCCCCAATAGAATAAAATTACCTGGTTGGATTAATTAACTCATTTATTTTAGGGAGCAGTACCACTGAATAAATACTCAAACTTGTCTGTCCCCAGACTAATATCAGAAATACATTAATACATTTCTAGCTTGAATGCAAGTAAAAGTGAAGAGCCTCTACTGACTACCAAGATTTCTGCAAACCACTATTTTAAGATGCTATAATGCTTACATGGAGTTGTAATAAGCAGAGAAATCTTCCAAAATTCACCCTTGTTCTTCATACTCTTTGCATGACTTAGTTGCTCAGGGGCAGGACACTTTTTAAACCTTATTAAGACGCAAAGGAGATTAGTATAATTAGGATGGAGCAATAGATTTCAGAGAAAACTATGCTTCTGCAACAAAACTGGTCTGACTGTGGAGAGAATAGCCTTCAACATTTAAGAAAAGTAAAGAATAGAAGACATGAGTAATTCACAGCATCTAAATAAGACATTATAATTCAGAACCACCTCCGCATCCACTACCATCCACCCCAGCTCATGGGCAGGGATTTCTTTTCTCTAATGGTCTTCCAAAAGATATCATAATACTCTCAAAGAGAGAAATAATCAATGTTGAATTATTGGTGCTCATAGTCCTCTTCTGTAGTAGATGGGCAGTAATCTTTTTTTCCTTTTTTTCCCTGTCAGAAGTCTTTATCCCAGCCTGACAGCTCATCTGGAGGCACTCCCTTTTCAGGAGGATATTTGTCAAAGTAGCTGTGATCTGTGGGTCCCTTGAGCTAATAGAGAAAAGATTAAAGCAAAGGTGAGGATGATATTGACTAAGCATGCTGTTACATATGGGTGATACTTTCTATAGCTGAATGTGGATTTTATACTACAACCACTGGTAAGTTACATATAAGGAAAAGATGACCAATTATCATTTTTAAGTCACACTCTCAGCCTCATGAAATCTCCCCTTCAGACCAAATGAATCTGATTGCATTCAATGGAAGCTACAGAGCCTGGAAGTTACTTCCAAAAGAAAAAAGTGACAGAAATGATTATTTTAAATAACATTTAAATAAATAACATTTATCTACAGATATATTAAATAATTTCATTATAAAAGTTTTGTTTAATAATTACTTAAAAATTCTGTAATATCTTTATGTTGTTTGATATTGCATGTGATAAAAAATGTAGTTATAATTATAATGAGTCCAGAAGAATTATTTGTGTCATCACAAAAATTTCTGTTGTCACAGGAATTTTAAAATTTATAAAATTATAATTGAAAGTCACTTAAAGAATGATCAAGTGAAACTTGCCAAGCATAAAAATATTTTACATTAGGATGAAATTTTATAGGGAAAATGGAATGGAAACATGGAAATGTGAATTCAGAGAGAAAAAGAAATGATGTAACATTTCTGAATTTTTTTAATGGTTGATTCATATGAAATCTCAGGTGTATTTAGATTACATTGGATATATTTAAAAGAGAGAAGTAACAGTAGTGTTTTACTGTAAAATTTCAATATTTATAACATACTAGAAATTATATTCTCCATAATGATTTAAATGTATGATGAAAAAAATGCAGATGTCAATCTAAAAATGTACAAAGAGAGACACAGATCTTCAAAATTCCTCTAGAGAGAACACAGCATAAAGTTTGTAGGGCATTGACCTAGGTCATTCCTGAGTCATTCTTCTTCCAGGTTAACAGATGTTCTGCTTTCTATAAAGTTATGCTATCCAACCAGCTACATGTGGTGACTGAGCGCTCGAAATGTAGCTGGTCCAAACTGATATGTGCTGAAAGTGTACAATCCACTTGGAATTGCAAACAGTATGAAAAAATAACTGTAAAATCTCATTAATATTTTATGTTGATTACATATTGAAGTGATAATATTTTGGTATTAAAACTGATTTCATCTATTTCTTTTTACCTTTTTTACTGTGGCTTCTATAAATTTCAAATTACTTATATGATTCATACCATATTTCTAGAGCTATCTGTCAGCCTAACTAAAATTGACAACTTGAGGACTTAGATTTATATGTAATTGATTTCTGAGAGCTGAGCTAATGCTCATCAAGTAGGTAACAATATTTAGTCCCTATAAGCACAACTGTTATATTTTAACTTAATTTTTAAAAAACTATTTTAAAAAATCTTATATTTGTTACATACACACACCTCTAAAATCTGTTTACAAAAACAACTACCTACAAAATAATCATGAAAGTAATATAGTAGGGACCATACCTCTCTTCGTAAAGGTGATGGAAGGTTCCGTGCTTTCAGTCCCTCCCAATTAAAACCATTTAGCCACCTGAGAAATGAGAAAGGTACAGAGATATTACTTGCCTGAAAATGATTAGCATGTCAAGCTATCTGTCAATGCATTTCATTGCCTGCTCCCTGCCTGCAACAGTGCAGCTGTAGGTAGTAGGAGGAAAATCCTAGACCATACTGGTTGTCTGGTCTCACACGAAATCAATGCCCACTAACGTCAAGGGGCACTTGCTGCTGTCCAGTAATCAGTTTAGATTTCCCTATTGTTCCACTCATCGTCACACCCCCTTAGATTCATAATTCATAATTTGTCTTCTCTCTTCAAATGTCCAGAACCTTCTCCCCATTCTCACTCCTAAGTGATGACCTGGCTTCCCTTTTCACTGAGGAAACTGAAGCAAAAAAGAGAACTTCCACAATCTTCCACCAGCATACCTGCCTACCTACCCACAACCGTGTGTTCCCTTCTCTCCTATACCATGGTCATCTCGTCTACTGTGTATATGATCTCACAGACTCTTCTCTAAAGTCATGCTCCTGCAACTCTCCTCTCACCCGAATCTTCAGCATCTTTTCTGCTCAATTATTCTCATCAGTATGGAAACATTTCATTTCTTCCAACACAAAACACCCTCCTTTGACCTGAGCTCCCTTCCAACTCTCATTCCATTTCTCTCTTCCCATTGGATAAAAACTCTTTGAAAGAGTTATTTAATCACTCTATTTACCCATTTTCTCCTGACCACACTACAATCAAGTTCACCCTCTCTACTTAATTGAATCATGTCAGTTCTCAGTTTTCATCTTATTTAACCTATTAGTAGCATTTTCCACTTTTCACCAGTTATACTTGCTGAAACCCTTTTCACTTTGCTTCACTTGGCAATAGCCTTGGCTTTCTTCCTACCTCCTTGGTTGCTTTCCCTCATTTTCCATTGCTATTTCCATAGGAAGTCGGTGTGCTCCAGGGCTCAGGCCTTAGACCTCTTCTTTTTACAATACTCTCACTTCCTAGGTAATCTCATTCAGTCTTGTGGTTTTTAATGGCATTTATATTCTGATTACTCCCAGATTTCTATTTCCAACCAAGACTTCCCCATTGCCTTACGGCTAATAGCTACAACTGGTATTCCTCATCTTCCAAATGGATGTCCACTAGGCATCTAGCATGTATCAGGTCCACATTGGAGTGCCAAATCTTCCCCAACAAACTTGCCTCAACTCTTCCAGTTGCTCAAACCAAAAACCTTGAAGTTATCCTTTCTCTCGCACCCTACCTCAGTCCATATCCATTAGCAAATCTTGTCAGTGTTACCTTCAAAATATGATAAATTCTCAACACCTTCAGTGTTACCTTCAAAATATGACAAATTCTCAACACCTTCACTCTACCTGCACAGGCCAAACCACTAGTATTCCTTGCCTGTATTATTACAATAATCTCTTAATGGGTCCTCCTGCTTTTGTCCCTGGCAAACAATCCAGCATCAAGAGTGATCATTTAAAACATAAATAAGGTCTCACCATTCTTTTGTTCAAAATTCTCCAATGCTTCCATTTCACTCAGTATAAAAGGCAAAGTTTTTACCATGCTTTTATTATATGCCATAAGACCTTACAAAACACCCTTTCCATCACCACCCTTGAATGTGCGGAGACAAAAAAAAAAAAGATTGAGAAATGGCCAGAGGTCAGATCATGTAGGGCCTTGTAGGACACAGTAAGGAATCAGGATTTTATGCATAATGGGAAGCCATTAGAAAGTTCTATGTGGAGAATGGCCCTAGGGCCCCAGGATGGGTATGTGAGTAGGTAGGATGGGTATGTGAGTAGATAGGAAGGGTGTGTGAGACTGAAGGCAGGGAGATTTTAGAAGGCTGTCACATTCCTCTTCTACCCTTCTCAATCTCTCTCATCCTGGAGTTGTTTTTGATTCAGTCCTTGACTGGATTTCTCATTCCAAGTTTAAGTTAGCAAGAGAAGGAGTATGAATAATAGAGAGGGCAGGTTCTAGTACATTCAAGTGCCATTCTTAACCCAAAGTGCCATTTTGGTATAAGCTGCTGAGACTCTAGTCGAAGAGTGGGAATCAGACAGCAACCCCAGCTGTAGGGCTTCCCTGCCATTGCTACAAAACCACTGATGCTCCATTTTTAGGTATTTCTAGGTACACAGTTCTGTGTGTGCTGGCTGAAAATTATTGCTTGGCTATCGCCCATGGGAACATAGGCTATCACCTATGAGAACATAGGCTATCACCCATGGGAACATAACATTCTAACAATAAGTTTTCTCTTTCTGTACCCTCCACTAGCACAACCAACCTGTGGGTTGACAGTTAGTAAATAGAAGAAAAATAGACTTTTGTGTTCAGACAGAATGAGGAATGGGATTTAGGGCTTAAAAACCCTGTACCTCTGCATTTCAGAGCTGCTTAATTTGGGGTCTGTGTACACCTGGCAGACCCAGCTGGCTGAATAAAGAGTGTGTTTCCTATAACTCACTGATTTCTAGTGGTCCGTGGTCTATCGGGGGCTGGCGGCTACAACATGTGGATCATTTTGACACCAAACACTGCCACAATTCCTTTTAACATATCTTACAATGCTCTCTACCCAGAAGCTTCTCCATAAATATTAATGAAACTTATTACTGTTACTCTACTGAACCAAAGAGCCTATGCATTTCTTGCTTGTTACAATTTGACTTATGGCAATGTTTACTTCACACAAGTGGCTATTCACTTAACACTTGGCCTTTTGACACTAACTACATTTTAAGTAACGCAAGTGCCAGTATGCACTCATATGTGAAAAATATTCACCAAAGAAATATTAGCAGCAACAGCACATAAATTGCTTCTTCATATTTAGAAGACTTGTAGAAGCTATTCTTAAAAGTAATTTTAGAGACTAGAAATATTAAAGGTAATGCAAAGACACTCGAAATAAATTATTCCTCTACCTAGCCAGAAAGATTTAATTGTACCCTCCAAGCATGTTATCTTTTTTTTCAGAGAGGTGTTGGGAGACATAATTGGTGCCTAGTTTATAAACTAGCTCATAAATAGAGAAGAGAAGAACTCTATTATTAGAAAAGAAGATTTAACACAGAATGGGCAAACATATAACAATATGCCATGTTTAACTTTGTATTGTTTTTTAAAAATAAAGTTAAAGTGAATAGTTCTTTAAGGGGGAAAAAAAATAAGTTGTACCTTAGAAAAGAGTGGGAAAATCTGATGGTAAATTTTAGAAATAATTTTTTTTTTTTTTTTAATTCCAAGAATATAGTGGATAGAGAAGCTACATCCTTTAGGGAGTTGAGAAAGGTTTTAGAATATTCCTAGTTGAAGGCAGAGAGAGATCTATTTTTCAGGCCACCCTACCCTAGCTTTATATCTTAAAAAAAAACCTCTGAAAATAGGATGAAATAATGTTTTGAGCCCTCTTGGCTCACCGGAAGGCACTGTGCAAATCAGGCACACTGTACTAGTGAACTCTATCCTGTACCCTGTACTCAGGCTCTACACTGATGCTGCAACTAACACCCTGCTTGTTAAGAAAAGTAGGCAAATTAATCTCTACAGGGAAGAAAATTCAAAATTCTTCATTACTCTGATGTGGTGAGAAAATTCTCTGGCATCAATTTGCATGTGCATTCAATCACAATTTGACAGTTACATTGAAATGAGCCTCAGGTAAATAAGAAGTAAAAGATAAAACTAGAGCCCGTTAACAATTATATCACCTCTATTTCCAAACTACTCCAAAGCAAAACATGAAAATACTTCTGTAATGAGAGAAAGGAGGAAAATATATTGAAAGAATGATTTTAACTGACAGGACACTTGTTTGTTCAACATGAGTAGTATGTTTATATGTCATGTTATAATGAGATAAGAAATTGTGATAACAGCTGATAAGAAGAAAGATAAATTGGAATCTAAGACAAATAATGAACTCAACACTGAAGGCAATCCAAAGGATGATAAAAACAATAAAATACTCAACATTTTGATGTCTATAAAATCCACAGATGTGTCTCCTTCCCTCTCCCTCTCCCTCGCCCTCGCTCCTTCCCTTTCTCTCTTTTTCCCTGAGACACCCTCAAGGCAGAGCCCTCAGAATTTACAATGTTGAATACATGGCTCTATTTCAAGAAAGTTCATGAATAGATAGAGCAGGGTTGGCAGCTGTACCACTACTGTTAAGAAAAATGAATAGTGTTTCTATTCAGCAGCATCTCTCCCTTTATTTTCAAACTGTGTTGATGTGCCCTTAATTCTTCAGTTAAAATATTCAGAGGGGAATGTACTATTAAGAGCTATTTTGATTTCAGAAAGTGAACATACCAGTGCTCAAAGGTTTTCAATAATAAAATTCTCAAATTTATTTTTTGTACTATCAATAGGTGATATTTTATATCCATAAATCACAACAAAATTAAAACATCTTGAGGATTACAGAATTTAGCTAGGCATTTATTTGAAAAAAATCTCAAAGATTTGAACTTCCATGTATGTAACCAATTTAGAGAGGCTATCTTACGGAAGTTATATATGGGTCTGAAGGACAGATTTAGAAATTCACAAAATTGATAATGTTCACGTTAGATGACTGTATAAGAAAACATTGAGATTTTCTGAAAATCAATGTACTTTACCTAAAAAGTAAAATACAACATGAAGCTTCAGAATTTGAAGAGCTAGTCAAAGGAAAATCATATTTAAAATAAATGTATAATATTAAAATTGAAATAGAATACTATTTAATAGCAATTTAGCTGACCCATTCTCTTGACTATCGACAATCACAACTATATTCTACTTTTTAAAAAATCAAATCTCATAATTAGAACTTAATTCATTTATAGACTCCAAGTTGATATTTTAAAATAATAATAAACAATAGTGGATAAAAACTAAGTTGCTATAATTTGAATATATGATTTTATAACTTGTAAATTTTATCCATTCGTGATAGGAATTTTCAGCATTAGAGAAATAGTTTTTAGACTGATTTTTGAAACTCGTAGTAAAACACAAATTATAAAGTACCAAAAAGGCAAAACTGACAGTATGTAAAAGAACCCTGTGGCCTACTGAAAGATGCTTCAACATTGCCAGTTTTCTATTAATTTCCATATTTTTCTGGGCAAAGAAGTAACTGTACCTGTGTTTCTTAATGTCATTGATTCCATTCTTCAGATTTCCCAGCCTTTCTGTTGGATTTTGCCTAAAATAATAATTTTTTAAAAGATGGTTTATATTTATTATGTTTGAATGAATTTTAAGTTAAAATTTAACATTTCTTTATTGATTCATTTATTCAACAATATTCATAGACTAGGCATCTGAGTAGAGGGAGATAAAAAACACATGCCCCTCTCTAGAGGAGCCACGGTCAAATTAGAATTAGAAATGTATCTATATAATGTAACTATATCCATATTTATATTTACATCTGTATTTCTTAGTGCTTTAAATGAGCTAGAAACAAATGCTTAAAAGAACAGGAGGGTACTATCTTACAAACTCTGCTGAGACAACCTGGAAAAGCTTTAGAAAGTCATTTACATCTCAGCTGGAATCTTAGAAGCATGTAGAAATTTCCGTTGGCAACCCACAGCTAGGTTTCATGTTCTAAATTTACTAAAATTTAATGCTTGAAACAAGAGTTCAAATGTGCAAAAAAATAGCGACAAAGTGAAGTTCAAACAAAATTCTATAACTCTTCTGTTCTCCAAAAGTATTTTCAATGGTAAATAGAAATTTGGAATAATTTAAAATAAGGCCAGGGACGTAGTCCAAGATGGTTCAGGAAGAACCTGAACTCACCTCTTCCCATGAATACACTGAATCTGCAACTACATGTGGAACTATTCCCTCTGAAAGACCTGAAAACAGTCTGAACAGCTCTCTCACAACAAATGGTGAAATGGCCACAGTGAGGTGGGTAGGAGAGGCAGAGATGAAGTCTCCCGAACATCCCCCACCCCACCCCGTGTGGCAACCCACAATCAGGAAGGACCTCACGATCTGAATCTTCTCCCTGAAAAGCAAGGGATTCATGCTCCACATCAGGGGAGCCAACCCGTGGACCTTGTAGTGGAGAGATGAGACCCCCAAATGTCTGGCTTTGAAAAACAATATGGCTCACGTTTAGGAGATCCAAAGGCCTATAAGGAACTGAGATGTTTCTGTTAAGGGCTGGCTCACAGATTTGCTCACCCCGAGGACCAGTACAAAAGTAGCAGTTTGAAAAGTGCCTAGACTATATATGAAGGAGATACATTTGCTAATCTTAAAGTGTCTGCCAGAGAGGCAGGGGCCTGTTGAGATTCTCTGCGGGGATAGAGGTGCTGGCAGGTACCATTTTGGCACTCTTCCTCTACCTCATTAGTGTCAGTGAGCACATTCTGTCTCAGTGTTCTCCTGTAGCTCCACAAAAGCCAGTGGGTGCACCATAGCTCTGCATTTTCCCAAGGCCCTACAAAAGCCAGCAGGTGCATCCTGGCCCCACACTCTTCTAATTCCTTGCTTAAGCCAGTGAGCACATGCAGTCCACACAAGGGACACATTAGACCAGATAGATTTAACAGATATATCCAGAAAATCCATCAATAAGCAGCAGAATACATATTCTTGTCAAGTGCACATGGAACATTCTCAAAGCTAGATCATATGCTAGGCCACAAAACTAGTGTCAGCAAATTTAGAGAAGACTGAAATCATATCAAGCATCTTTTCTGACCTTGATGGAATAAACTAGAAATCGAGTATGAGAAAAATGGAAAAAATCGCAAATATGTGGAGATAAACAACACACTGCTGAACAACCAATAGGTCAAAGTAGAAAAACTACAATGGAAATACAACTTACCAAAATCTACAGGATGCAGCAAAAGGAGTTCTAAGAAGGAAGTGCATAGCGATACAGGCCTACCTCAAGAAACAAGAAAAATCCCAAATAAACAATCTAACGTTACACCTAAAGGAACTATCGAAAGACGAGCAAAGCCCAAAGTTAGTAGAAAGAAGAAAACAATAAAGATCAGAGCAAAAATAGATGAAATAGAGACTAAAAAGACAATAGAAAAGATCAATGAAGCTAAGCACTGGTGCTATGAAAAGATGAATGAAACTGACAAATCTTTATGTAGACTCATCAAGAAAAAAAAAGAGAGGGTTCAAATAAATAAACTCAGAAATGAAAGAGAAGTTACAGCTGATACCACAGAAATGCAAAAGATCTTAAGACTACTATGAACAATTATATGCCAACAAACCGGATAACCTAGAAGAAATAGATAAATTCTAAAAACGTATAATCTTCCAAGACTGAATTGTGGAAAAAAAAAAAAAATCTGAATAAACTGATGATTAGTGAGGAGATTGAGTCAGTAATCAAAAACCTCCCAAAAAACACATCCAAGGAGATGGCTTCACAGGTGAATTCTACTGAATGTTTAGAAATTTAATACCTAGTCTCCTCATTTTATGAGGCCAGCACTACCCTGATACCAAAACCAGACAAGGACACACACATACAAATTACAGGCCAATATCCCTGATGAACATAGATGCAAAAATACTCAAAAAATATTAGCAAACCAAATTCTACAATATAGTAAAAGGATTATACACCATGATTAGGTGGAATTTATTCCCGTGATGCAAGGATGGTTCAATGCATGTAAATCAATCAATATGAAATGCCACATTAACAAAATGAAGGATAAAAATTATATGATCATCTCAACAGATACAGAAAAGGCATTTGAAAAAATTTGATACCTATTTATGATAAAAATTCTCAAAAGAAGTTGGTATAGAGGGAATGTACCTTAACATAATAAAGGCCATATATGACGAGCCCACAGATAATAACATACTCCCTTTGAAAAGCTGAAAGTTTTCCTCTAGCATCAGGAACAAGATAAAGATGCCCACTCTCACCACTTTCATTCAACATAGTATTAGAAGTACTAGCCAGAGGTAGGCAAGAAAATTGAATTAATTTCAATTAGGCAAGAAAAAGAAATAAAAGACCTCCAAATTAGAAAGGAAGAAGTTAAACTGTCACTATTTGGGGATGACATGATTTATATACAGAAAACCCTACAGACCCCATGAAAAAAGACTGTTAGAATTAATAAACAAATTTAGTAAAGTTTCAGGTCATAAAATCAACATGAAGATCAGAGCGATAGAGACTAAAGAGAAAGAGAGACTAAAAAATCTCTTGCATTTCTATACACTAATAACAAACAGAAAGAGAACTTAAGAAAATCCTATTTACGATTGCATCAAAAAGAATAAAATACCCTAGGAGTAAATTTAACCAAGGTGATGAAAGATCCGCACATTGAAAACTATAAGACATAGATGAAAGAAACTGAAGAAGACACAAATAAATGGATAAATGTTCTGTGATCATGAATTGGAAAAATTAATATTATTAAAATGTCCATATTATGCAAAGCAATCTACAGACTTAATTAATCCTCAACAAAATCTCAATGGCATTTTTCACAGAAACAGAACAAACACTCCTAAAATTTGTATGGAACGACAAAAGACTCCAAATAGCCAATACAATCTTGAGAAAGAAGGACAAAGTTGGAGGTATCATGCTCCCTAATTTCAAACTCAATTACAACACTACAGTAATCAAAACAGTATGATATTGGGTTAAGAATGGACACATAGATCAATGGTACAGAATAGAAAGCCCAGAAATCAACCCATGTATATATGGACAATTTATTTATGACAAAGGAGGGAAGAATATACAGTGAAGAAAGGTCAGTCTCTTCAATGAATGGTGTTGGGGAAACTGAACAGCCACATGCAAAAGAACGAAACTAGACTACTTTATTTCACTATATACAAAAACTAATTCAAAACAGATAAAAGACTTGAACATAGGGCATGAAATCATAAAACTCGTAAAAGAAAACAGGCAGTAAACTCCTTGACATTAGTCTTGGTGATGAGTTTTTTGATCTGACTCCAAAAGCAAAGGCAACAAAAGCAAAATCAAATAAATAGGACTACGTCAAACTAAAAAACTTCTGCATAGCAAAAGAAACCATCAACGAAATGAAAAGGCAACCTATGAAATGAGAGAAAAATTTGTAAACCATATATCTAATAAGAGGTTAATATCATAATATCCAAAATATATAAAGAACTCATACAACTCAATAGCAAAAGAAACAAAACAAAACAGCCTGATTAAAAAATGGACAGAGGATCTAAAGAGATGTTTTTTTCCAAAGAAGACATACAGAGGGCTAAGAGGTATATGAAAAGTGTTCAACATAATTATTCATCAGGAAAATGCAAATCAAAACCATAATGTGATTTCACCTCACAACTGTAAGAATGACTATTATCAAAAAGTCAACAAATAATAAGTGTTGACAAGGATGTGGAGAAAAGGGAACCCTTGTGCCCTAGTGCAAGAATGTAAATTTGTGCGACAGCGATGGAAAACAGTATGAAGTTTCCTTAAAAAATTAAAAACAGAACTACCATATGATCTATCAATTCCACTTCTGGGTATTGATCTGAAGAAAATAAAAACAGTAATTTGAAAAAATATACACAACCCTATGTTCACTGCAGCATTAGTTACAATAACCAAGCTATGAAAATACCTAAATGTTCATCGTTGGATGAGTGGAAGAAGAAGAGATGATATATATACATACATATATATATCTTGATATATATGTGCTTGATATATATATATATATATATAAAAAGATGCTTGATATATAT